CCAGGGCTTTTATTTGAACAAACTTGGTAGACACTCACTAGAAGATGTTTCATGCCAAATATCTAAGCTCTAGCTCTTATGGTTTTTTAAAAGAAGATATTTAAATTTTTTTCTTTCGGTTGCCATGGCAACCAGAGTTCTGCATGGAATTAAATTCTTTGAACAATTTTTAAAGGTGACCACCAAAGGAACATTCCTGTGAAGTTTGGATGAAATTGGCTTAGTGGTTTATGAGGAGATGTCATTTAAAGTAAAAGTTTACGGACGGACGACGGACGGACGGTCGGACGCCGGACGAAAAGCGATCACAAAAGCTCACCCTGTCACTTTGTGACAGGTGAGCTAAAAAATGAAAGTAAAAAATGTTTTACGAAAATGCATTGTCAAAACGGATATACGCATTCATGCATTTATTGTCAAAATACGAAAAAGACTGTAAGAACATGTTTTTCCTTTAAAAGCAATCATTATGTTCGGCTTCATCATTGATTATGGTATCCATTCAACTAACTATCTATTCAGCATATTGGAATCTTGAGATTGTAATTATGGAAATAACAGTAAAATACGTCAATTTATGATAAGTAAAATCGCCATATGAAACAATATAGCAACGATTAAATACAAATATACCTCCCCGATCTTTCTTTCACCATTAAATGAGAAAAAAAGATTAATATTTCATCATTTCGTCTACGTAAAAGATGGAATATACATCAACTAGTCTTTATACACGGACTTTTTCTTTCCTCTTAAAGAAATAGGCGATTCAGAAGTAAATCTTCATTCGCTATTTCTATAAACAGAATCCGTATTTGCAAGAATACGGAATTTCGTATTTTAGTAATATACGGACTTGTTTTAAAATTCTGATATTAGTAAAATACGGACTTCGTACATCAAAGTTCCCGTATATTAAGCGTGTACGGATGACAGTATATAAGTCATATACGGACTGACATAATGGAGTCGGCCTAGTGAATGTTTGTATTCTTTGTTCTATAGTAAATCAGTCACATTTGAGGCTTAATTCCCAATTCCGCTGTTCCTGATGAATTATAAACTGTCTTCAACTTTAAACATCAACACTGTCCAAGTCAAATGTGGCCCAAAATATAACATGTTAGCCATCTACTTTTTTCAGAAATCTACATTCTGTTGTAACACTGTTTAAATTCACCACTTTGAAAACTCTTGACTGCTGGTGGGTAGTACATTTTTAATGCTTCCGTCAACAAATGAGTTCCTGGAGAATACACAAAAAACAACTTTTGAAGTCATCCTATAACACACAAAAACTACACACATGCAATAAATACACTTTAATTATGACCAATCAAACTAGAGAGAACTTAAACTGGGCCACTGTGAAAATTAAAAGAACTACTTTCTTGACTACAACGAGTTGGGTCTAATTCCATACCGGGGTGAGACCTAAATGAATCCAAACTTTAATTTAAGCCAAAATGTATACTCATTTCCTAGTAATTTAGTGTTATACAAGTACAATTAAATAGTCTAACAATTTACCTTCATTCAGTACCATTTTTTTAAATATATCTTATTGAGGTTTCCGTAGTCGTCAAAACTAAACACATTGTGTTTTGACTTTGAAAATTTAAAACCCTTTTTATGTTTCCCATTTCTTTGTTATTTTATCTACATTTTGTTTAGCTTAGTAGTGTCTTAAATCATGAAATTGAATACTGGTAATAATCAGAATAAGAATGTTACCTTGGGTATCAACTTGCATTATAAATTTACATAATCATGCATTTAATGAATATTAATGCACCATAAAAATGGAATAGTGAATTGCGTTTTTATACAAAATTACCCGAGTGTTTATAATTATTAGACATTGAAAAATTACGACGATGAAATATTTGTATAAAATGCAGGATTAAGTTACATTTTATTAGCAAAGTTAAATTTCTGTATGCATACGTAAATTGTTACCATATACCAAATTTAAGAGACTACATTTTTGAGGAAAAATACCGAAATGACATTAATATGCATATTACAATAATATCTGTTAAGGATCCTCTAAAAAAATAGCAAATGTCTTGTTAATGACTTGTTAAAAGTGTTTCATGAAAACCTGTTTTCCCTATACATTTGTTAACCTTTAACGTATTTTAAGCATATTTAGGGGTTCGGATCTATTTTAATATTAAGAAGCAGTTATTATGATGCAAAATGATGCAAAACTGATAATTATATATATAAACATACGTTTATACCTCTAAAGATGAGATTTATCCTATTGAACAAATAATTTATCATTTGTTCTTATTTTCAAAGAGAATTTAAATTGCGCTGCTGATTAAATTTTGTCTTAAATTACAATTATAATAATTTAACTTATCCCATAGTGACAATATTATGGAGATATATATGTCAGTTTCGGAATATGGTAAAATATCCTTTAAATTTACGCCGAACAAATCAACAAAACAACGGATTAAAATATTCTATCTGGCCATTTCGATAAACAATACATAAATGCATCAAATACCACCGATAACTTTTTAAAATCGCGTAGCTGTGTAGGAATAATTCAACATTATCTGATTATTTCCCGCGATCTGAGATTGTCGCCGACTCCATTCCGTGACGTCACTGGATTTTGATTCGAGGAGAATAATATTTATTTTAAATTATTTTTAATAAGTTCCAAAAAATAACAGGTATTTATAAAACTTTTATACAAATTATTCTATGTAAATAGATTTAAACATCTTCATGTAAAACCTTTTTAACAAATTACTTTTATAAATACATTTGAAAGGGAAACCCCAAACAAGAACGGTAAATCTTTGAAACAGTACTTTCGTTTTAAAGAAAAATTGAGTACTCTATTTGATATGGCACAGCAAATAAATTCAGCCATGTCGTAAGAAAGAAATCAGTCATTTGTTCTAGTTTGACAATATTTTGCATGCAAACTTGTTATTTTTGGAACTTGTTAAAAATAATTTTAATAAATATTATTCTACTCGAATCAACATCCAGTGACGTCACGAAAAGGAGTCGGCGACAAACTCGGATCGTGGGAAATATTCAGAAAATGTTGAATAATTCCTACATAGCTACGTAATTAAAAAAGGTTATCGGTGGTATTTGATGCATTTATGTATTGTTTATCGAAATGGCCAAATAGATTATTTTGGTCCGTTGTTTTGTTGATTTGTTCGGCGTTTCATTCCTTGTGTGTATTTATACTGTATAGGGGGTATATTTTGGATATTATCATTAATATTGATAGAATTTCAAGTTCCTGTGTATTTATAGTATATAGGGGGTATATTTGGATATTATCATTAATATTGGTTATTTGATAGAATTTCAAGTTCCTGTGCATAGAGGCTCCTTGTATCATACAATGACCTCATGTTGGCGTATGTTCTTTATCTGTTTGTCCTTTAAGACGAAAAATACTGCTTACAATTTAGTATGAAATATTACATAAACACTTGAATGCTAATGTATAAAAGTTAACAGTCTTTGGAGTAAGCTTATCTTAATACAATATATATACTTGACAAAAATGAAACTTCCAATGTGTGTTTATGCGGATGTGTTTATGTCAAACGAGCTTCATATTTTCGCGCGAACTATTCAATTTTAACTCGTTTTACAAGAGCCATTTGCATGCCTACTACTCGAATGACGATGAATGCCGTCGCTATGAATATTGGATGTTCTACTCATGCTATTCGACACTTTAGGCAACGTTTTTCAAGCATCAAGGCATACAGAAGATCGACCACGTAGTGGAAGTCCGCACATCAAGACGCAGGCCCAAGACCGCTTTATTCGCAATAACCTGCACAATCGCTTCCAAACTGCCACAGCTTATGCTGATCATACTCCTAGTATATCTGCCAAAACTGTGCGCAATCGCCTGCGCGAGGGTAGGTTACATGGACATCAACTATACATCGATCGCATACAAAGTGTTAATTGGGCACGTACAAACAACCACTGATTTAGACAATAATTGAATGGCTTATTAATCGAACTGATGGCAGCGTCCAAGTATACAGTAGAAGAAATAAACATTTTGCCGACTGTTGCCTACTTGAACGATATCGTTTTGGGGTTGGTGTTTCTGTCTTGGTCTGATCAGGCATTGCACATGGCTTTAACGATTATTTAGTCATTATCAAAGGGAATTTAAATGCCCAAACGCTGTCGAGATGAAATTCTTGCGAGAAAGATTATCCAACTGTTTCACAATAATACCAATATCACTACTGATAATGCTACAAAACCATACAACTAGGGGTACTCTGAATATCCTCGGGGCGAATAACATAGTATTTATTAATGACTGGCCTGCCAAAAACCATAATATAATCCCAAAGAACACCTTTTGGATTATTATGACCTGCGTGTTAGACGTCGCCCTATTCCAATGTCAAACGTCATTCAACCAGGACAAGCCTTAGTTCAGAAATGAAACAACCTACCACAAGCCGAAATCAATCTGATTTGTTTCATGCGCCAATGATACTAGGGAGTATTTTATGCTGAAAGTCTTCATACCCGACATAAATTTGTGATTTTGTTGGGCGACCCCTTCTGCATTTTAACTAACATTTCAATACTTTTGGATAAACCCTCAGCAATATTTTTTTTAAAGAAGTCGCAATAAAAAACTCCTTCAATTCAAATAAATCTACTTTAATCCGAATTTTCATATTCGTGTACATCTGCACTTACAGGGGAAGTTTCTTATTTCGTTCAGCAAATATATATAAAATAGAGAGAAATAAGAATCCCTAAAGAAAGCCCAACACGGCAAAATTGAAAATGTTGCAGGCTCGGTTTGATTGAGTCTGTTCATGGGCGGTGCTGTCAAGTGCAAACTACCGTCCACGCCCTCTAGCACCGGCTTAAGTTAACATGAACTGTAAAATTTAGAATTTTGAAACATCCGCAGATGTATTGCAAAACACTTTTGCAACGCTTGAATGACATGCCTTTGATGCAAGCGTCTAATTGGTGAGAATGCTATGGTAGAGGTATTTTAAAGAGAAATATAAATAAACATTTAGGAATACATCATTTGCATTCAAACTTCTTTTGTCGAACGAGGACTCTCTAACATTTTCAAATATTTGTTCAGCATCATTACCATTGGATATTCTGATATAGCTTTAAGTAAGTGACAGTTTCTTTGAAAGAATATTTATATTATTGATACAATTATTAAAAATGTTTGTTAGGTAACGAAAAGCAATATTGATTAAGGAATTAGACGTTTTCATTGCCGCTTTGTCTATTTAAATTTTATCATATATTTAATTCTGTACCTGCTTTCATTTTCTTATAAGAATAATATTTCTTTTAAATGTTGTTAACATAAGGTTAAGTAACATCAGTTTTGTGCACTATATATATATTTAAAATAATCAGGAAATGCGTGCTAAATATGTTGGATAATTTGCGATATATTTTATAAAAGTGGTATGACAAGAAAAGAGATAAGGATATCTGAATTTATTAGTAAAAGTTACTAGGAAAATTACCTATGTACCAGAATAAAAGCTGCGGCAACGGAAACAAATCCATAAGGAAAAGGCAACCATATAAAATGTGAGGCATATTTCAATTTTCATGGTATTATTTTGACAAAACAATGCGTTATGTCGATATGAACCTATAAGTTTCGCTTTTTGCTTTCATGTTCTTATTCTATACGGGCTTGTGAATCTGGTTTGAAACGTGGATGAATTAAAATATGTGCGCATGAGAAGCGGTTGAACATAAATAAGACCCTAATAAGGAAAACTGGATAGACATCAAAACGTTTTGTACGTAAATATAGGGTGATAACTTTAAGACATATATGTGTGATTTTATTTATCGCTTCATTCGAAGCTTCATGCCACTTTATGGGCCAAACTATTTCAAGAAAATCATTATTTCGAAAAGTGTACAAAGGAAAGTAAAAATATTAAAAAATCAAAAAATAATTATCATGCTGTATGCAATTTATGACTAAAATCTTATTGCCTTCCTTGTCAAAATGCTTGTTTTTTGCTTTTTTCTGTTCGGTGTCACATTGGTTGCCTTTGCAGTATTTCTTGTGTTAAAGGAGCAGCATTTAGTAAACGTTGCTCTCCCGTTACTATTATCAGTCTTATTCACATGTAAACCTATATTTCTAATTCATCAAATGTTTTCGTGTGTTTCACTTCAGGTGCAACTTAATTACAAGATGAAGAAAATTATTCAATTTGTGCTCCTGTTTTGTCTTTTTGGATTGGTGCTCAGCAAAAGTGTACCGAATGCAGGAAACAATGAATTACTTAAAAATACAAAACATCTTGAAGACCATCGCATACGAAGACAAGCGAGTAGTGAGAATAGAAAATGGTAAAAGCGTAAAAATTTTGCTGAAAATATTAACTCAATTTAACGAGTAAATAAACACAGCCGATATATTGGACAAGATGATATAAATCTGTTTGAATATGAAAAAACAGCAAAAGGCAAAAGCAAATGAAAAAAAAACAAAAACAAAAAAAAAAACATGTTACAATATTACACAATATTTAAACTGTGTACTCAATATATTTATTCTGTATGCATATTTTGTTGTCAGTGTTTATGTTTGACTCCTCTAACTTCACTGAAACAAGACGAAAGTTATTAATTACGTATAAGAAGTGATAAAATCGACTTTTGTTTCCCAACCATAAATTCTTTATGATTGTGTCAGTCAAATTTATCAAAAATGATAAACAAGATCAACAAGGAAAGGTGGCGTTCAATGAACGCAACCCCAAAATTCGATTTTGTTTCTTCAACAACTCGATACTACATAGATCTAATCTATATTTTGCTTTTCTTTACATTCTCATGTTTCAGTCGTTTAGATATACCATTATTATTTGTTTTTATTACATACTTGCCCGCTTGACTGTGTTCTTAAATTTATTGTTTTCGCGTACTTCAAATTAAAGCCGCCGACCTAAATATCTGGAATGAAAGCGAGCTCTCGGAAGCATTCATATTAGCAAAATTACATGAAAATTTCTCACCCAGTTTGATTGAGCCTGTACTTGATTTATAACAAAAATGAAACGTCCCTCACGCCCCCTAGCACCGACTTGAGCGGTAGTCAATTCTCAACATTTAAAAGTGCTGGACTCAATGATTGCGAATGACCATAAAATATAACAACACTGAATTGAAGTACGGGGCAACTTTGTACGGCTGCTACACACACTTGCCACCGGCTGTTGTAATGTGTGAATATCTGGAAAAAGTGATCCTTCGGAAGCATTCAAAACAGCAGAATATCATAAAAATTGCAGTCTCGGTTTAATTGAGTCTGTACACGACCGATAAATTAATAAATGCAATTCCTTCAAGACAAGTTTAAATGAGACAAAATTATCTTGACATGATTTTTATAATGAATTTTTAGTTAACGAGCTAACTAACAGAACGTCGGTGATATTTTTGGAAGCCCTTTCATGTCTAAATAAATACAAAGAGGAGCACTTGAGGTCGTCCTTCACTAGGACCAGACCATGTGTCCTTAAAAGCGTTTGTTAGACGTAAAAGCCAACCGAACAAAATTCATGGTGTTTGTTGTTGTCCTTTTCTCGACAATTTTATTCTTTATATTCTCACTATTTAAACCATGAAAAAGCAGTTGAATTTTCTACTCGATGAATAATTCTGGAGTTATGAGAATTAAATAATACGTTCTGTAAATGGTTTGAAAGTTTGTAACTGCTTCGTTTAATAAAAGAAAAAGTTTTCTATTTCAAATCTTTAATTAAAAAGTATTCTCCCCATTCACCGAATTGCCATTTCAAAATATATCTTTGAAAAGCTGAGAATAGCTTTTAATCGGTCGTAGACACTGATAAATGTCTTTGTGGGCCTATTATTTAATCATTATTTGTTTTCTTTGAATTCCTATCAGTTACAAATTATTTATCATTTAGTGATTGGCCTCTCCGTGCTCTGTCTTGTGTGCCCTGTCCTGTTTTTGTTTGGGGTCCGCCTGGGCTCCTTGCCACTGGTTCTTGTTGCTGGGTTGTAAGAGGGTTGCGTTCATTGAACGCCGCCTTTCCTTGATGATCTTGTTTATCATATTTTGTCAAGAGAACTCCTTAATGTATATTCTTTTCTTTAAAGTATTTACTTAATCCTGTGAAACAGAAAATGTCGCAGGGACGTAAATCAGGAGAAGACGGATGGTCTATAACTTTAACGGTTTCAGACGCGAAGAGAGACCACTTTCAATATTGCTCTGTGAAAGGAGGCATTAGACACACACAGGCATATTTGCATGTTAATGCATTTGCAGTAAAACCCTTGAAAAAAACCTTATCTTTGCAAACATTGTGATAAGACACAACGGTTATAAGTAGATGAACGAACAAGACGCATTATTTACGATATTCATTTTCCAACGTATATACCTATACAATTATTTTTGAAAGCAATGTTTTAATGAGTGTAAAGTAAGTTAAAACAGCCATTCCTTGATGTCCTTTTGCGTACTTTTCTGGTAGGTTGTCTATTTCAGATATTATTTGGGACCTTGTCTGTCATATTTGTAAACTTGCTTGAGGGCGATCAATAAAAAGTGTACAAACAAACATAAGCAGCTGACTACAAAATAATTCCGGATCATTTGTAAAAAGCTGAACTATTTATCGCGAAGGAAAATATAATCGCATTTTATGGTTACTACTTGGCAAATTAAAGATATATATTTGTACATAACAAAACATACATTCACAATTTTAGTATAATATCATAAAGACATGGTTATAAGTGTGGGTGAAAAAAATAAGTTTTTGTTTTCGCAGAGACGCATGATCATTATATAAATTCAAATTCAACATACTTGTCCGCTTGACCGTGTTCTTAAATTTATTGTTTTCGCGTACTTCAAATTAAAGCCGATTCAGAGAGATATCCTAAATATTTGGAATGAAAGCGAGCTCTCGGAAGCATTCACATTAGCAAAATTACATGAACATTTCTCGCCCGGTTTGATTGAGCCTGTACTTGATTTATAACAAAAATGAAACGTCCGTCATGCCCTCTAGCACTGGCTTGAGCGGTAGTCAATTCTCAACATTTAAAAGTGCAGGTCTCAATGATTGCGAATGACCATAAAATATAACAACACTGAATTGAAGTACGAGGCAACTTTGTACGGCTGCTACACACACTTGCCACCGGCTGTTGTATTGTGTAAATATCTGGAAAAAGTGATCATTCGGAAGCTTTCAAAACAGTAGAATATCATAAAAATTGCAGTCTCGGTTTAATTGAGTCTGTACACGACGGATAATTAATAAATGCAATTCCTTCAAGACAAGTTTAAATGAGACAAAATTATCTTGACATGATTTTCATAATGAATTTTTAGTTAACGAGCTAACTAACAGAACGTCGGTGATATTTTTGGAAGCCCTTTCATGTCTAAATAAATACAAAGAGGAGCACTTGAGGTCGTCCTTCACTAGGACCAGACCATGTGTCCTTTAAAGCGTTTGTTAGACGTAAAAGCCAACAGAACAAAATTCATGGTGTTTGTTGTTGTCCTTTTCTCGACAATTTTATTCTTTATCTTCTCATTATTTAAACCATGAAAAAGCAGTTGAATTTTCTACTCGATGAATAACTCTGGAGTTATGAGAATTAAATAATACGTTCTGTAAATGGTTTGAAAGTTTGTAACTGCTTCGTTTAATAAAAAAAATGTTTTCTATTTCAAATCTTTAATTAAAAAGTATTCTCCCCATTCACCGAATTGCCGTTTCAAAATATATCTTTGAAAAGCTGAGAATAGCTTCTTATCTGTCGTAGACACTGATAAATGGCTTTGTGGGCCTATTATTCAATCATTTATTTGTTTTCTTTGAATTCCTATCAGTTACAAATTATATATCATTTAGTGATTGGCCTGTCCGTGCTCTGTCTTGTGCCCTGTCCTGTTTTTGTTTGGGGTCCGCCTGGGCTCCTTGCGACTGGTTCTTGTTGCTGGGTCGTATGGGGTTTGCGTTCATTGGAAGAAGCCTAATTATATAATCGTTTTATTGGAGTTTCATTAAGTTGTTAATTAACAACAAACCTTGAAATTGAAAATTTAAATGCTTTCAAAGAGATTAGCATTATCATGAGGTTGTGATAAATTATAATTATTGTCTGTACCAAAAACAGAATATTTAATTTTGTAAAAAATTGATAATAAAAAAAATAATAGATTTTATATCGTCTACTGATACAACATTTCAAACTTAGTACTAAAAAGTAAGTACACGTTGTTTTAGATTAATTTTATTATCACGTCTAATAAGTTCGTAGTCCTTAATTAAAGGTATTATTGATCGTAAACTTTTTGCTTATTTTTTTAAAGAAATTATCAGCATTCTACCAGTGAATTGAAAAAAAATAATTTGCATAAATAATTTTAAAGAAATTTGTATGAAGATTAAAATTAACAATATACGTTATTTTATGTTACTGATACCAATATTATAACTAAAAATATACATTTTCCTTTGACAGTAATCCTTTAAATTCATGTTGATCTTCATATATTATGTTAGATAACAATAAAAAGAACATTGTGCGAGTGTTAAGCGTTTAACCCACACCACCTTAAACCTGGTGAGACCTCAAAACTATTGAGTGATGTATCGTTGATCAACAACGGGCAATACAACACTAGTCAACTGTTATACCAATGCACTCCTCAGATAATAGCAACAATCTCATAATTACCGTTTATTGATATGTGAAACAGTAACCTAAAAATAGATAAACTGAAAAAATAAACCTTTCAAATCAAAATATTAATTAATGACATAGAGGATATTTGTTTAGTTCAGTGTAAGATCGTAATATATTTCACCGAGTGAGCACCAAAAGGTATATTTCACGAGTGGTGCAGCCACGAGTGAAATATGAACTTTTGGTGTTCACAAGGTGAAATATATTTCGATCTTACACTAAACTAAACAAATTTTCTTTTTATTACATGCAAAGAAACGTTTTAAAGAGACATTAAGCGTAATACTGAATGAAAAGCGCGCCAAATAATAATACAACGTGACGTCATTTACGACGTCACGTCATTAAGTTGGTACCCAGTTCTGTGCACGCTGGTATTTCACTGAAACAACGTAAGGGGATTAAGTTCAAAACAGTGAAATTATCAAAGTGGTAATTTCACTGTTTCAAACAGTGAAATTACCAGTTTTATGTCACTGATATATTTCTATAAACCACCGAAAAGCATGTAATAAATAGCATTCTTTGAAAAATATCTCAAATCGTAGTGATATTGTGGAGATGGACGAACTTTTAAATAAGTGTTTACGTTAAAATTTTTTATTTATAAAGAAAACTTTCAAAAGTGAATATACTATAGTTTGTCTTATTTCATGCCAGTACTTAACACTAAAAAGGAAACTATGACAATTAAAATGAGAAGTGATAAATTATCAATGCAAAGGTGTAGCAAAAGAAATGGCAACAACAACAACAACAATAATAATATAACAAGATAAACATACCGATTCCAAATTAATATAAAGTTGAAACTAAAATGCCCGTGTGTTTCTTTAATTTCGAGTTGTTTTTTGCACACCACCGACAACCCAGCTTATCGTAGCTTTTGTGATAATGTAAAGGAAGTGAATCTTGATATCCATTATGAATACAGAACATTTCAGATATCTAGGTTAATGAAAGCCATTCTTGCATTTGACAATACCAGAATTTGTATTTTTTATTTTATTGTTTATCAATGGGAAAATTGAATAAATATTTTGCGATAATATAGATTTAAGACATATTCGAACGTTTATTGACTGGACATCGAAATGGACCATTTCTGATACCGGGCTTGGCGGTTGAATTTTTGTCTTGGCTTTTTACA